GTAATGGGGAAAAAATAAGAACCAAGATACATCATGTACAGGTACAAGCACCCAATGATAAATGTAAACGTATTGTATACCTAAAATGTACCAATGAAAGAATTTAAGAAAAAAACAAAAGAACTTGGTGCTCACACACAACCAAAATGTAAGTAAATACTAAGACACAATGGCATTACTGGAATTTCAGGAGGACAGCTGACACAGTGTCATAATAACTGCTGACATAAATGATGAAGGGAAAGCTCGGCTGTATCAGTGGTCTCTGTTAAGAAGGCCCTAGAGGCAGGAGCCTTACTTCCATGACACCAAAGCTGGTAGAGTTCACAGTAAAACCATAATCATAAGAGTTTGCAATAAAGAGTTAAAAAAAAAAAAAGCAGGCTGAGAGAACGTACTGGAGCTACAGAAGAACCTGTACACAAATGATCACAGCAGCATTATTCATACACGATGAAGGGTGGAAATGGTTCAAATATCAGCTGGTAAAGAACAGGTGATTTATCTATACAATGGGGTATATCTTGGCAATAAAAAGGAATAAAGCACTCATAGGCTACAACATGGGTAAATCCTGTAAATATTAATTGAAAAAAGATAGAAAACACTACGTATGTCATTTTGTTTATATGCAATTGTCTAGAATAGATAAAGCTATAGAGAAATAAAGAATCAGTGGCTCTTTGGGGTGGGGTATGGGAAGGTAGAGGAGCAGCGCCTAAAGGGGTGGGGTTTCTGAGGTGATGAAAATGCTCTAACAGTGGCTATGACGATGATTTCACACATTTGTGAATGTAACGAAGACCACCGGAGTGTACATGGAATTGGGGCTGGGGCAGTACCTTGGGGACAGAGGACAATAAAGAAATTCGTAAGGCAAATGCGTGAGTTGTGTGGTATGTGAGTTGTATCTACATCATGCTTTTCTTTTATCCTACTGGAAACGGGTAAAATCCCCGTGCCAGGCATTATTGTAGAGGGTCGCGCTGCTGCGGGCATGGCCACATGGAGGATGAATGCTCTACTTTTAGCCTCAAGAGGGCCCCACACCAAATGCCACTCTGAGGCAAAGTCCCCAGGGGAGGGAGGCAGGGAGGGAAGAAGAGGCCAATTTGTCTTTGATAAGAACTGTTTGAAACACAAAACAAGTACAAGGGTAAAAGGATGAAGAGCAAGAACCTGTTGGGACTGGTGTAAAACCTGCTTTATTTATTATTTTCCCAGTGATCTGGAGGTCTGTGGTAACATTTCATTGCTTTCACATAAGATTTTCCAAGTGAGGAAAAGACAAATCTATAGAAAGAGAACATAGAAATATATTTGAAGAGAATGAATGGACTAAATCAGAGCATTTTTAAAAAGGCTCATTATATATCATTTTAAGTAATTCAATGGGTTAACTATCTGATAGGACGGAAGGGAGGAAATCAGTGTAGGCCTTCGTCGTCTTCCGAGGGTTGGGTATGTACCTCTATCCTTGATTGTGAGTATGTATCATTGTATCACTCCTGATAAATCATAAAAACAGTATCTCAAGGTAGAAAAGTCCTCAATATAGATAAAGATTTGGAATTGCTGGCAAATTATTTAAGAAATCTCTTTTAGCTAAAAGTTACATAACTTCCAATGTCACTGTTGATTTTTATGCTTATAGTAGATTAATGTAGCACATCGATTCAAAGAAGAAATAAATCAATTGATATTTACCTCCTTTTTCTGACCTATTGTAGACTGTAATATCTGATAGATTTTTTTCGGTCCATCTAACTGGAATATTCCATGTGTAACTAAAATTTTTAAAAAAGAAAAATTTAACTTTTATTAGCAAAAGATAAAATTTCAAAAGTAATAAACAATAGACAAGCACATTTGCATTATAACTAATTGCCCTGTGTGCAGTATGCAACTAACACAGTTAATGCAAAACCTTTAGGGATGAAGATAGCCCAACTGCTCTCAATTTCTAGAAATCCATAAAATACAGAATTGCATCAAAAAGTAGCTAAAGCTGAGGAAAATTATTCTTGAGGCTTTGAAATACAGATGCTGCATAAATTGCATACATACAAGACATTATGATATTGCACATTTGTATGCATGCATACTTGTTTAAACTCTAGTATGCTGGAGTTTTAAAACTCTAGTATGTTATAGTTATAAAATGTTATTAGAATTCAAAAGGCAATCTGTAAAATTCTGTGAATGAAATACATGAGAGAAGTAATACTGAAATTGTATCACCACTGCCATCTCCCTCTAAACATGTGTGAGTTAGGATCAGGAGGACCCAGCTGCTGAGGGGATGGCCTAAGATAGGCATGCTCTGGGGCTCCAGTCACTCTCGCTAGCTACTCTGTTGTGCAGAAGTCTCAGAAAGGAGACCGGAAGTGTCTTGTTGACAGTTTGTCCTCACATCATCTCATATATTGGAGAGAACAGGCAATCCAGAGTGCAGACCCGTGTGCCAACGGCAACTCTGAATTTCCATCCCCGCTGGGCCAGCTGTTAGTACTCGATTCCTTACCGGGGAGTTAGGGTTGGCATTTCTTCCTCATAAGAAACAGTAAAACTGATGTCATTCAAGGAGAAAATACGTGGGCTAGCTACAGGAAAGAAGTAATCCTTTGCTTTGTAACTGTTGAAGGAGTTTGCAGGACTTTTACTAGGCCTTTTGGAGTTTCCTGCAGGGCACTGTTTGGGCTTCCCGTTTCATGAAGTCATATGTAAATCATTTTCTTGGGACTGGCCGTGGACTGCGTCACCTTTACCTTTGTGTCTCTGTCATCCTAGCACACCCAGACGCCAGTACACCTCCCCTAACAGCGCCGACACGACACCGGGTTCCTGGGCCACTGCCATCCACCATGCCCAGCGGCTGTGAGGCCCACCCTGCCCCACGCCTCAGGATCACCTGCAGCACTTTGTGCCCAGCCCGACCTTCCCCGGGGGCCTGCCCTCCACGCCCCGTCTCCCCTGGAAACCCCGCTAGGGAGTCACGTTCATGGCAGTGGCCATCTCTGCTCTGCTTTCAGGGCGACCACCCTAAGAGCCTTGCAGCTTGGAGACAAAGAAGCGCTTCTCAATTATTATTACTTTAATTTTTACTGGTACATGCTTGCAGTACATGATTACTACACTCTTTTAGGGTTGTGATGCTATGACACATCTTAATTCCTCTTCTTCCCCTTCCCCTCTGCACCCTCCCACGCCACATCTCTTGGTTGGCTTTGTCAAGATCTATCTTCCTATTTCCTATGATCTATCTTTTATTTTGCTCTCCATTTATACTTTGGTCTCATATAACAAACGATGCGATATTTAAACTCTTGTGTCTGATTTAGTTCACTTAACATTGTGATCTCGAGGTGCATCTATTTTCCTACAAATGACTCAAGTTGATCCTTCACGAGGAAGCATTTTAAAGCAGCCTCAACCTATACCTCTCACTCTGCCACTGATTCGCTGATCTGGCGTTGCCCATACAATGACATTTCCTTCCTCCTCGTCTTCCCCAGGACCAGCCTGATGGAAACAGCAGAGCTGGCAGAAACCTATGAGCATGGTAGAGATTTCACATCTTGACTGTCCTTGCTAAGCCACGATGGCCAGGACCACACCATGCTTAAAGGTGGCTGGAGGGCTAGAGATTTAGCTTAGTGGTTTCTCCACCTGCCTTGCAAGCCCAAGGACCCAAGTTCGATCCCCGGTACCAAAAAAAAAAAAAAAGAAGCAAAAAAGCAGCTGGAAGCTATGCTACCAAGGCCGGGTACAAACACGCTGCCTGGAGATCCTTAAGACATCATAAGACAAAAGGGGCAGGGTGAGGCTACGTAATTTTATAATTTTAGTGTTATAGAGTTTAATCTTCTCTAAACTGAGTAAAATGTCAGATTTAGGAATGTAAAATGTCAAGAAATGAAAATTGTGTAAATGAAATGATAGAGTATTCTCCATGCCATCTAAAATTCAAGAGAATCAGAATTCATCTTTTAAGGGCATAATTGGTGCCCTAGGTATATAACAGGCTCCCTTCATATTAAACGTGGCGCATCTTATTTTCTCCACAGAAACTGACTTTCACTGCCCCAGCATGACACACCCAGCCCCAGGGGTGCTGCCTGCTCACAAGGAAAGGCTTGTCAAAGGCTGAAAGCCCACCTGACACTGGGCATGGAGCCCAGAGCTACAGCGCTGGCCTAGCACACGGGGACCCTGGGTTCAATCCCCTGTACCACAGGAGAAAGAAGGAGAGGAAGGCAGGCAGGAAGGGGAGGTAGTCCTTCTGATGGAGGGGGAGTGTTCCATTTACACGAGATGGTCCTGTACTCTCCTTGGGCCCTTTTGAGTTAACAGCTCTGTTGCTAAGTGTTTCTAATCTCCAATTAAACAGTGAGCAACTAGCAGAGGCGCCGTGCAACTCCGGGAAGAGCTAACCGCTCACACTGCCTCCCAGACAGAGTACACAGGAATGGGGGAGGGGGGGCTTTCAAGCCTCCAAACTTAGAAAAGAACCCCTTCCTTTCTGGGTATGGGAAGGCACTTACCATGATTTAGTTTTTTAAATAACAGGAAAAATAAGGAAGACTCACTTGCTGGAACCCCTCTTATTCAGTCAGCAGCTACTATTGATTCTTAACAAATGCTCTCAACAGGGAAGAATTTATTTTCTAAAGTTTCTTTTCATATTCATATGAAACTTTTTTCCTTACAAAACCAGAATAAGTGTATTGACTTTATGATAAATGACCACTAAAAATCATGCTTTTATGAATATAAATAAAATAAAAACCACACTTGAGGGCAGACAATAAAGACAAATACTAGAAAAAAGTGTAAATGTTAATGTATCCCCATTCTCTAGGTCTTAGTGAATAAAATTAAAGGCTTGTTGTTTAAAAAGTGATTTTATATCTGATGATATATCTAATTCACTTGGTAATAAAATTGTCTGTGTGGAAAAGAATTCATGTCCAAGAAATGGTTAAAAAATCCAGCCCTGTGGACCCAGACCAGTGTGGGCTGTTTCGGGTTTCACCAATCTGTGGATCCATAGCGAAGGACAAGACAGCTCCGGGGAAACTTCCCCATGGAAACTCGTCTTGCAAGAGAATGTCTTTCCTTTCTATCGTAATAGCCGAAGACTCCAGCAGCATTAAATAAATCCAATCTCCTTTGCTAGAACATAAAACGGTAACCGTAAAAGAAGCAGTTTATAGTTAACAGAACGATTACGGAAGACTCCTGTGTTGATTCTAGCAACTGAATTAAAATCTGAAGGCAAGTCCAAGCCCGTCCTTCCTTCTCTAGAAATACGGCTGGACCCCGGCCTACAAGGTGAAGACAGAGGTCTAGAGGGAGCTTGCTCTCCGCAAACTCACCTGGCCGGGTCTCCTGCGAACGGTTTAGTTTCTAATGAGAAAGTCTTCGCTCCACCCCAATCTGCGGACCACCCGCACGAGGCAGCCCGGCCCTCCTCTGTCACGCCTCCCACACCTGTCACCGGGGTCTCCCGGCTTCCACCCAGACCCGTGCCCGGTCTGCCCTGCACACCGCAGCCGGGGGAGCCTTCACAGATGCTGCGGGATCCTGACCATGACGATTCTGCCCGGAACCCGCGCACCCCACCGTCCAGAACTTCAGCGTGGGTGCATGCGCGGGCCTGCCCTGCACCTCCGCTCCCACACCTCCTGCGGCTCAGGGCTGTCGGTTCCTAGGAGCCTGTGTTCAGGCAGGACTTCCGGATTTGTCTCTAGGTGACCCTGAAGGACTTCCTCCATCACGCGCTGCTTCACCTGCTCTTACAAATACACTCACTGTGCCTCAAATCATGCGAGCCACTTGGTGCTCAGTAAGTGCGGGGCTGGCTCCTCTTAACTCTGGGGCCTTCGCGCGTATTACAGCTGCTGTTTTAACATCCCGGAGGGTCACCCCGCCCGGGTGAATTTATTCACCTTCAATATCGCATCCTGGGGATGAGCATCTGTGACCTCAGCCCACGCTTCCCGCCCCAATCGGGGCCCCATGTGACAGCAGAGACTAATTACTGAGCCGCTTTCCAAATGGAAGCCTGCTTCACAAGAGGGAAAATGTTTTAAGATTTTAATATCTACAGGCTTGAGCAGTCCAAACATTGGCCAAGTTAGCGCGCTAGAATAGAAAACAGTAACTACAAAGGAACCAATTTATAGTCACTGAACAGTGTCCGAAATGCTTTCTGCACACCTGGAAATTCTCCCTTCTTCTCGTGTGGTTCTACTCACTGATGCTGTGATAATTTACACATGTGATTATGAAATAATGACCATGAAACCACTAGGGAGGAGGTAAAGAGGACAGAGAGTCCTTCAGTGAGAATCAGGCCATGGAGACCAGAGGACCCTCATGCATAGGCATGAAGTTCTACCGCCACTAAGTACAGTAAGAAAAGTTGAAAAGGGGGGACAGTAAAAATGGGGCATGGGTGAAACTGAACACTGCCCAGTGTTACGGTTTAGGTCTAAATGTCCCCCAAAAGCCTCAGGTGACTGGATCACGGGGCGCCATACGCGCCATTGGATTAATGCCCTCGTGAGTCCATAGCTGAATGTGCTGTTCAGAGGTGGGGCCTCATCAGAGATGGGGTCACCGGGGCATGGCCTGGAGGCTCTGCTCCCTCCTCTCTCCCCCCTTCGCTGTCTGCTTCCTGGCCGCCATGGGGCGAGCATCTGCTCAGCCAGGCCCCTCTGCCATCCTGCTGCTGCCTTGGACCATGGACTGAAACTGTGAGTGCCGTAAACCTTGCCTCCTTTAGGTTGTGGGTGTTGGCATCTCTTCCAGGGGTGGGGAGCTAACTCCAGCCCCTGGGACCAGTGACCCACTGTGCGCTCCGGTCACTGCATCTGTGCTTCCAGGGCACAGCTGGATACGCAGGGACGGGACAACGTCCCAAAGGATGAGTGAGGTTTCCTGGGGACAGACCCAGGGCTGGGCATGTGAGACTGGGTTTGTTCCCTTCAGCTGGGAAGGGGTGGTTGGTGCCCCAGAAATATGTACGAAAGTAACGACTTAATTATACAGAAACGTTCATAGTGCTAAGACTTTGGAGAGGTTATAGTCCTTCAAATGAGGCTAGTTTTGCCATCCCTGTGGTGCTGTGCGTGCTTTGTCAGATTTTACATTATTGGAAACACTTTTTAAAATCTGAGACAAATTAGAGGAAAAGATATAAAGGATTTGTAATGAAACATTTTTTTGGTACTGGAAATTGAAACCAGGGCTTTGCACTAAACTATATGCCCAGCCCTGTTTTATTTTTTATTCTATTCTATTCTAGTCTTTTTCCCCCCTATACTGAGGATAGAACTCAGGACCTTGCACTTGTCAGGCAGGTGCAGTGCCAGTGAGATACACCCCCAGCTCTTATTCTGTTCTACTAGACTCTATTTTTTTGAGACAGAGTAGGGTCTTGCTAAATTGCCCAGGCTGGGCTCAAACTTGGAATCCTTCGGCCTCAGCCTCCCAGAGTCCTGGGATTACAGGTGTGCACCACCGCACCTGGCTCTGGATTTGTAATTCTAATTAAGATACTTAGAAAACAGTAATTTAATAGCTATGTTTAAATGTCTAGAAAAATGTTGTTTGATAAAGTCAAGGGTTTGATTTTAACATGATAAAATATCTTTAAATTTTGATACAATATATCTGTGTTTTAATTAGTTAGATTTATAAAAGTATAAAGGAAATTTTTACAAATAGACTTATAAACCTCCTTATTTAGGTGTTTGTATTTTGAAATTAGAAATTAATTTAATAAAATATTAACTAGTAGTGTTTAGAAGAATGATTACATTGATCGGTTTCTATAAATGTTATATGCAAGAGCATTTGCTTAATTAAGTATCTAATTAATCGAAATAGAGCTGCTTAAATGCTCAGGAGACTTTGTACATAAGCTCCTCATTAATCAGACTCTAGAAGAGCCGGTGTTAAAAAGCCATGGTTTAAGTGCCTGCTCTACCGCTGAGCACCCCCAGCCTGGTTTTTTATTTTTATTTTTCCTTTCTGTGCTGTGTACTAATGGGCACCTTTTAATCAGAATCCTTGTATCTTTTTAAATATATATATATAATTCATCCTTTCAATTTCTGCGTTCTATTAGTCAGGTGCTAGGTTTTCCACATTTGTCTTCTCTTTTATGTTTCCTAGCTATATGTGTGTTTGCACTACATTTTTGGAGAATTTCTCAAATTTACTTCCAATTGGCCTAATATTTTTTTTGACAAGCAAAAATGGAATCTTCTAGAACTCTTTTGTGTTATCCGTTTGTCTCTTCCAAGTACCTTGATTCTTTCCACGATTCTGGCCGCTAACTGAGTTGGACAAGAGCCAGATCAAATTCAGCGATCAGGCTCTATGCCGACCTTATGGGGAAGTTTGATTTGGTTCTTGTCAGTTTCATTTGTGACCAGAATCGTGGAGAGATGCGAGTTCGTGAACCCAGGTACCAGTATCCTGTCTTATTCTTTGATCTCTGAATCATTTCAGAAGTTTATTTTGTTTCCTTCATTATGCATCTTCTAGAGTCAGATTTTTTGTTTGTTTGTTCCCATGAGATTGTAACATTTTATGCGTGTGTATTTTTCCTGTATCCTGTGACCCTTGATGGTCCGTTCATATTAAAGAGAGAAGAGCTGGCCTGGTGCGGTAGCACACACCTGTAATCCCAGTACTCTGGGAGACTGAGGCGGGAAGATTGCAGATGCAAGGCCAAGCCCACCTTGGGCAATTTAGTGACTTAGCAAGACCCTGCCTCAAAATAAGGAATGAAAAACGGGCTGTGGATGTAGCTCAGTGTGAAGGCCCTGAATTCCATCTGTAGCACTGAAAAGAAAACACCCTAAGCTGGTTTTCCTTGATCAGAGGAGGAAGTGTGTTTCTGAGCAGCCGCTTCCCCGGCCAGGCCTGCCCAGGCGCCCCGCCCCTTCCACCGGGCAGCTGCACCGTGGGAGGCAGGAGGAGGGGCCCTGAGCTCCCTCTGCCGAGCTCGCCCGGGTCACCGCCCGCCCGGGCAGCCTCCTCACCCTGGCCCGCCCTGGCCCGCACGACTCACGCTCGCCCTTGGGCGGGGTCCGGGCAGCAGACCCGGCAGGCGCGCAGCCCAGCGGGGCCAGCCGGGCCGGTACCGCGCGGCTCTGGGCCTGCACGCGGACGGGACGGACTCGCACGGCCGGGAGCCTTACCCGAGGGCCGAGGGCGGCTGCGCCGGGTCCGCGCTGGCGTCCAGCAGGAAGCGCTGCTGCCGGACGGCCCTGCCGCTGCTGACGGTCAGCACGGGGTAGCCCATCTGGCTGGTCCAGCTGTGCATCACTTCCCGTATGGGCAGGCTGCTGGCCTGGCGTGGAAAACGGAGATGGGCTCATTCACAGACCAAGGGAGAGGAAGAGGAGCAGATAATGAGAGACGCGGTTGGCAAATCTAAGAAACACTCGGGGACATCCTCTTTCTTACCTCTTCCAAGGCTTCCCAAAAATCTGAAGTTTTTGCATTCTTGAATTGAAATTTTTGCAAGTAAATCTGTATGTGAAAAATAATAAATACTTTAGAACTCAGTGTTGGCTTTTCTCATCCTCACGGCAGCCCCCAAACAGTGACCGACCGCGTGTAAATTAGTGAGCGTGGCTGACTTCCAATAAAATATCATTTATGCACACTGATAGTGGGATTTTATATCATTTTCATGTTATAAAATCTCTTCTTTTGATTTTTCAATGATTTTAAAATACAGATCCCTTTTCTAGGTCATGAACCTTGAAATAATGGGAGGTGGGCCAGATTCGGCCTATAGAGTTTCTTGGGGGTTTTTTTGTTTTTTGGTACCGGGGATCGAACTCGGGTCCTTGAGCTTGCGCAGCAGGCAGTGAAACCACTGAGCTAAATCCCCGGCCCTCAGCCTATAGGGAAGTTTACTGATCTCTGCTCCAAAAAAAAACAAATATGAAACCTCCTGAATATCAATGATAATAATGGCGGAGGAGAAAATTATTTGCTCTACCGAGTAAGTCTTCGCTGTTCAGGTATTTTAGAAATGTGAATCTTTAAGCAGAAAATGTCCCCTTGGGCAGAGCTGCTCATAAACCTGTGCGCGAGCTGTCAGGTATAGCGTGGCTATTCCCGAGGCGGGGGCTCGGGACACGTCCACGTCCCTGCTGGCTTAGAGTTACGTGTCCTGTTTTAGAGGCGGAAGTCTTGGAAATACAGAAGTGGAGTCTTCTTACATTGGGGATTTTTGCATGAGTGCCGAGCTGGGCTCCTTGGGCAGGAGTCCTGCCACAGCCCCAACTCCTTCGTAAATGTCCCCAGTTGTTAAACCTTACACGCATCATTTTCTATCTAACTCGCCATAACTTTCACTAGGTGCCGTACCGAAGTCACTGTAGGGTTTAAATTCTTCTCCATTGCATGCACGGGGGAGAAAACAGAATTCTCAGAACTCCGAGCCCGGAGGGGTTCGGCCGCTGCACTTCTCAACATTGCCACCAGAGGGCAGCAGAGGCGGCTAACCTACCATTGTCCGCGGCTGCTCCCGGGATTTCAAGAAGCGCGGTACTTTAATTAAAGAATCGGATGCTTAGTCTTCTAAAATTATAACCTTATCTGTGTGGTAAACTTATATTGAATACACCTTTTAAAACTGATTTATAACACGTATGTGTTACTCACAGAGTTTGCCATCTAAGCGACCAGAATGGATATTAATAGGATTTACTACAAAGCCCCGTCTCGGAGGCGCGGGAGGCGCCCGGCCTGGCGCCCGCAGAGGGGAAGAGATGGGCCCCGGACCGCTATGAGGAGAACCCTGGACCCTGGACCAATGTGCACGGTTTTCATCACGGCTGTGTTTTAAATTGCAATTTACTAAATTTTAAAAATTGCATTTTACTGCTTCTCCTGAACTACAGGCCCAATGGAAATTTATATAAACACTGCAGCAAAAGGCACTGATTTTATTTTGTCTAATTAGTGCTCCTGAGTATCCTACATTAAGAAATTTACTTCACTGGAACCATCACGAGGCACCAGAGGGCCTCGCCCGCCTGCGGCCCAGAAAGAGCCAGGGCGCTTTCTGGCTCAGCCCGTCCGGTCAGCAGCAACGCCGCGGTCTGTCTCGGAGGAAGGAGCAAGACAGGCGCGTTTCCCGGCTGCCGTCTGGCGACGGTAACCACGCTGTCCCGATGCCCGCTTACAGGCTGCCCTTGCTGCACGCGGATCCTGCAGCAGACGGTTTTGCTTTGCTTTCTCCGACTCTGCGCTACTCTGCCGTCTGCAAGTGGGATTTGGGGGACGCGGATGGAGGAGAAGGAGCAGACACCTGGCCGGGCCCAGATTCGGCCTCCAGCGGGCTCCTCGGGAGGAACACACTGGCCAAAAGGGAGAGCTGGCAGGGGAAACGGGAAACGGGATCGGGGCGGAGCACAGGGTGCCCCCCAGCTCCGACCTGGGAAGCGGCAGCCCAGAGGCCGCTCTTCCTGAGGGCGGCCGCACTGATCGCGGGCTGTTTCCGGTTTTAGCTGGTATTGGAAGATGGAAGAAAAGAGCGCTGGGGGGGGGGGCGGTTGCAAACCCGTTCCACGGCGCTACACCAGCACAGGAAAACACCACCTGTTTACCAGAGTTCAGGGCAGCACTACCTGTGCTCACAGGGTAGAGAAAGTTTCAACTTGAGAAGAATCAGTTTTAGACAAGATTTAAAATCGACTTAACACGGATGCTAGACTGAAGGAGTGTTGAGCGCAGCAGTGGACCATGAGACCTCCTGCTCCCTCTTCCCTTCGGCAGGCCCGGGGTGGAGCCCGAGCCCTCACGCGTGCCAGGCAAGCCCTCTGTCTGTAAGCTATGTCTCTCGCTCTATCTAGTCACTTTTAAGGACTCTTCTGGCGCTTCCCTAAAAGAGGAAAATGAAAGATCATTTCATCTGAGGTCAGTTCTGAAGATACCAAAGATGTGTTATTTTATTATCAATGACAATTTAATTAGGAATGAAAACTATGCCAGTGGAATTTCAACTTAATTTTTGAAAACGAACCTTTCTCTTTATTAACTGTGTTCTCACTGGCATAGACTATTCACTCATTCATTTAACAAACATCTTCTGATCCACCTACTACTGTGTGTGATGCCTTGTGCCAGGTGCTGGAGCAGACACAAAGATATGCAGAGCCTCCCAGGGAGAAGATGGCAGGACATCTGAGTTTGAAGCTGATGGGAAAGTTACAAATGGCACATTCCTCGCGTTGTTCTTAAACCTCAGTCCTACTCGTTACCTTAGTAGTCACCAAGAAATTTTAGTATTGGTCCGAGTGGAAGCATTTCCTTTGGGGAATCATAGGAAGAGCTGGTGCCACTAAGACAGCAGTAATGGGGCTGGCGGCCCTGTCCTGGGGAATCGCGTGCCAAAGAAGTCCTGGTGTGCTCATAGGGTGCTGCATTACGGGGTGGATGCCCCTAACATCTGGCTATCAGAGTAGGGAGAACAAAGACAGGACACCAGGATTCGGAGTAGGTCCAGTCCTGGGCTGCCGCAGGACCAAGCTGCTGCCAGGAGACTTCACACTGAAGACTCGAGTGTCACAGTTTATAAGGCAGCAGCTCTGGGACTGTTGGCTGAGGGTCTGCTAGAAAAACGAAAATGAACCTAAAATACCCACCAGAGCAATATGCTTAAATGGGATGTGGGGAAAGTGTTAGAAAAACTGCCTTTATTTCTCTTTCCTCAAAGCAGTGGGCCCTTTATTCAGTGACTCCATTGTAAAAGGAATATAGTCATTTTCCAGTCCACCAAGAAGGAAGAAGTTTGTACTCACTGTAAGGGAATAGCCATTCAGAGATATTGAAATTTGACATCGAACTGCTCTGGAGTCAACTGTGTTCTTAGATGGGGCTTTGGGAAGTATTCTGGTCCAGATGGGGTAGCATTGGTGAGGCCAAATGAGAAGACTAGGGTGGACTCAGGAGGAAGGTGGGTGGTAGCCAGAGGGGTGGCCAGGAAGGGAACCCCGTGGGAACCCTGATCCTGGGCTGCTCTGCCTTCAGAGCCGTGGGAGAGGAGGTTCTACTGCCCAAGCTGGTCTGTGTTAGTTTGTTACGGAGCCGGAGCAAATGCACACGTGACAGGCATCGCAGCTACTAATCCATTTAAACCTCCCCACGAGACGTCAGGGGTGAAACTGCTTTTTATCTTCTGCTATGTTATCAGGCCCATTTAGGGAAGGTAAAAGGGAACTAACCATAAGAATCCTCAGCATTCACCAGCACCTGTCAGGGCAGTTTACTTTCAGTATCGCTAAAAGTCATAAATCACACCTGACATCCTCTCTGAAACTTCTCCGGAGTCATCCAGTCTTCCAGCATTCTCAGAATGGAAGCTCCCTGTGGCAGAGAAAAATCGCAAACCAAGCTGATCGAGGTTATGAAAAGGAACAAATATCAGTCGTCGCTACCGTGACCTTTATTGCATGATCATTTTGTGAAAGTATATTTCTTGGACATGATTCTGTTAAACTGCATGGTTATAGTTCTATGACTTTAGGATAAAAATATCACTTGGTACACTCTTTGTAAATCTATGCTTCTAAAATAAAAGGCAAAGAGAGGTTGGCAAAATTGTCATTTCAGAGGCTTTGAGGGCCAATAACACCTGCACTTCCTCACAGGAACCAGCAGATGGAGCAATGCTAAAGAGAGGACTAGTTAAAAAAGAGGTTTTGATGAAAAAACATTGTTTCAGGGTAAAATGATGGCAATTTATTAAATATATCTCAAAACTGGAAAATAATTATATTTAGCAAAAATATAAGTAGAGAGTTGAAGAATTATCTGTTTCATATGAATAGTTATGTCATTTAGGCATTATAAACTTTCTCTTCAATCACACTTTATCTCATTTGGTTTTCTTTCATGTGAAGAATCTGATGCATACCTCTGCTTCCTACTTTCCTTTCATGTGTTATAAAATCAATAACAAGATGCACTATTTGTAAGGTTTTAAATCAATTTCCAAGTAACATCAGAAAAACATGTTCTCCCCACTTAACTTAGTAATTATTTTGTAATTTATCCAACATTTTAAACTATTTTTCTACCTACTAAGAAGGCTAGGGGATTTGAAGCATTTATTTATTTATGATCTTCCATTCTCTCTCTCTCTTTTTTTTTTTCTTGGTACTGGGGATCAAAGGACCTTGTGTTTAAGGCAGGTAGCAGAACCACTGAGCTAAACCCCCAGCCCTATTTATTTATGATCTAATATCTTAGCCCATGGAGTATCTAGGACTTGGGGAAAAATCGGTTCTAACTTCTTCTGTGTGAGTTATTACAAGTGGCTATAAGTAGACTGGATATTTTCATTTTAACACAAAAACAAAGAGAATCATTGATAATGTGAAAAAATGAAGAAGACAACCCTGGAAAGATGCCATGAAAACAATATATGGAGAGCCCCAAAATATGATGCCATAAATTCCAAATACTACTGTGTAGTTTTTTCATCCAAGCTGGTTTCAGTATTCATTTTAATAATTATAATATAAACAAATAGTAATATTTTTAGGCATCACTCCAGATAACAAAATGGATTAATTTACAGCAGCCTTTGAATCACTTAATGGAGTGGGGAATCTATGAGAAATGGGTAGAAAATTATTAAAATAAAATTTAAAATTATTTTACATATAGGTAAAGAATAAATCTGGATGAGGTGTTATGAGAGAGAATGGGTAACATAAAACTTTCAGATATATATTTTCAGCAACATTTCACAAAATTTGAATGGGTAAAAATGCCACATTTATAATATGTGAACAAAGCCATCCTTAGATCTCATGTAAAAATCAAAAAAAATGTTTCCTTCAACTGAGTTGGATTTAAATGTTTATTGAGAGAAATAAAAGATTCTACTACAAAAGGTGCCCACATATATGATATTCCTTTCTGGCCATACAGAAAAGTAAGATATATTGTCATTAAGGAAAAAATTTTTAACTTGTTGCCTAAAGCCTAGATGTTGACTTATCAAAATGAAAACAGTTATAAGCAAAGGTGAAAAGAGAAAATTTTAAAAATTGGATTCAAAATCATGTGGCAATGATCAGCACTACTCAGTTCTTCTGAAAAGCACAAGCTGTTAAATACCCATCGCTGAGAATACGTTCTGACTACTCTTCAGAGCTCACTGGAACCATTCTCACCATATGTAAGCATCTACTAGAAGAAAAGTCATAAATAAAAAGATGTTCAAAACAATGCTGTATTTTCCCCACCTTGCTGTAGGATATTCCATCAAAAACAGATGTGATTTCAGCAGGGGTCGCCACGGAGACAACAATTGGATGAGAAGACAGTAAAGAGTCGTCTTCTTGTACAGGTAATACATCTTCAAGTAACACCTGGTCCAGCTGCAACAACAGAATGAGCCAAAGAAATACAGCATTTGCTTAACACTTGTTTGTGTTTTATGATGCCACATACGATATGAATGGAGAGGATAAATTTAAAAGACTCAAATTATTTAAAACAAATATTAGGCCTTCAAACTAATTATCTTTTGCCAGGGATTTAGCTCAGTGGTTTCGCCACCTGCTGCACAAGTGCAAGGACTCGAGTTCGATCCCCGGTACCAAAAAAAACCACAAAAAAACAAACGAATTATATTTTGTGTTGATTGCTGGTATTAGCCTCTTTGGAACACAATACTCAACGCCCTCAGCTTTAAGGGGGAGCGGTTTTTTTCGGCTCACAGTTCCCAGTGGGTTCACTCCATGGTAAGCTGGCTCCAAGGCAGAAACGCACAGTGGAGGGGCCTGGAGAGGACAGCTGCTCATCCCAGGGCAGCCAGGGAGCAGAGAGGGAAGAGAAGGGCCAGGGACACGACCTTCCAGGTCACACCCTAGGCACCACCTCCAACCAGGCTGCACTCCACATTCAGCTGTGAACTCGTCAATGGATGGACCCACAGATGAGTGGCCCCATGACCCAGGCTCCTCCCAGACACATGCAACTCTGGGGGACATTTTAGAGGTCAACCCTAATATTGCTCTTTACTGATTTCGTTCCCTTCTTCTGTATATAACTCCCTTGAATTCTCCCACATGACAGGCCAAGAAAATGCGGGCACTGTGGATTCTGTTTCAGCCACTTTCGCCTGACTGTGGACATGTGCCCACCTTCCCAGGCCGTTTCCATAGCTGTGCAGTAACATCAGTTCCCACATTGGTTCTGAGAAATAAGTGCGGCAACGTGTCAGTTTGCCAGAGCTGATGTTCGGCTTTTACTTCATGTCATCTTGCCAATGGAATTTGGGTGACTTGTAATTAATCAAAGAAAACAGAGTTTATCTTTAGTTCCAATAATCAACTGTCATTTCAGTCCTGGCTTTTCCCAGCAAAACAGGGTGGCCGAGAGGTCTAGCAGGACAGTCAGACCTGGGTTCAAGGCTCGGTCTTTCCATTCTCTTGGTATTTAAGCAAGCGCCCTCTTTCATTAAAATAAGGGCAACAATGGCATCTACACTCTGGACTTCCACACAGGCAAAGCTATGACTCGTACTACGTACCTGGCCTAGCACCTGGTACAGAGTGAAAATCCAGCACATCAGCTGCTATTATGGGAATTCTTAAGCAACAAGATTCCAATCTGTTAAACCATTACTAATTTAAAAACTCAAAAACTTTATTGATCCCATCTAATTAACACTTCCAAAAGAGAAGCATGCTATATTACTCTACATGTTCCAATTCTGTGGTTTCCATTTATAGCAGGCAAGGTTCTGTTGCTAAGTGATAGCTGCCAATCGAGGCAATTTGGATCTGGGTTTTGATTTTTCATACACATAAGAGGGCTAGGTAAGTAGAAAGAATCCTGTTGTTGGCACCAGGAAATCTGACTGCACTCACCTTTGACACCATTTGTCTGTTTAGTAACTGTCAGTTTCATTACAGTCCTGGCCCTCAGATTTTTCACTGATGAAAGGAAGTTCCATTATAGCAGTATTTATCAAGCTGTCTTATAAAATACTGTATTTATCTGATCTCTTCATCCATAACTTCTTAAAGGCTAAACCAACATTTTATCCATTTTGGGTCCCTTTAGCACTCACTGAATGAAGAATGAATGAATGGTGCGTATGATTGTACCATGTGATTAAGTTTCATTGAAATCTCAAGACCTGCATACCAAATTCTTCTGGAATCCACTCAGTGCTTTGTAAACCTAGAAATTTTAACATTGGGTGATGTTAAAATGTCATAATTTATTGTAGCATTTAGATATAAGAAGGGCATCGGCACATTGAGGTCGTACTCGTAAGTGAAATAAATAGGACACACAAACATATAAATACCGAATAGTTTCTCTAGTGTGAGAAACTGAAAGTGTAAATAAGGATTAAAATGAATAATTGATAATTGGAAATAGGAAGAAAAGATCCAAAGGGGTAGGGGAAGTGGGAGGGGATGGGGAAAGGAAAGAAGGGAAAGGAAAAATGATGAGAAAAGAGAAAAATGGAAACAAAGTCTATGTAAATAGGAAGGGTGGAGGGGTGAAGGGCGCACAGGTAATGGGGAGAAAATAAGAACCAAGATGCATCATGTACAGGTACAAGCACCCAATGATAAATGTAAATGTATTGTATACCTAAAATGTACCAATAAAAGAATTTAAG